AATGTATTGGTATTAGTATGAATGGCACTCGAGTAGTGAGCAGGATGAATAATTTTAATAAAAATGAAGTACCAAATGTAATCTGACACACTGTTGCAATCATCATAAGCAACTGCTGTCAAAAAATGCCAACAAATTTAGAATCATTTGATTATATATCCCTAAAAATTTTATTAAGACACACTCACTAAATAGTTGAATTTTTAGTTTTATGTAATGAAATGGGAAGACATTATAAACAACTACATACTGAAGTTTGCTGGTTGTCTTATGGTCTTGAATCAAATTTCTGAACTTTATGATGAGATAAGAGTATCTTTAATTGAAGGAAAAATATTTAATTTGAAAGTGTTTTAATGATTTCTCCTGGCTGGTTAAGGTTGCATATTTAGCTGATATTTTTTCTGACTTAAATAAACTTAATTCACAAGGAATGCTGTAAATGTTTTAAATGTTTAAAGTGGATGATAAAATATAAGTCACAATTTAAAAAAAAAATCAATTTCTGAGAGAAATGGATTAAAAATAATTTTTTTTTTTGAATTTTTCCCCCCTTTTATCTAGTTGTGTAACAAGTCAAAAAACATGAAGGAGAAATGAAAGGTACAAGCTTTAGCCTGTATTTACTCAGATCAAATCTCTCAGATATAGAATACCGGATTTACTTATCATATATAAGACTGTACACGTGTACTTGGTTAGACATTGGTATGAATTTTAATAAGTTCCTATCATTCATAATGCTTTCATTTTATATTACGTTATTAATAAGCATAATAACTACATTTAGTAACAGGTTAATGTTTTTAAGGTTGGTTTTATACCTTCATAAAAAGGGCGACAAATTGGTTTCCTCTTAGGAAAAAAAAAATGTTTATTTTGGTTATAAAATTAAACCCTTAATGGGATTGTTTAAAGATTTTAATATAGAACTAACTTGTTACATATGGAAAACAGAATGAATAAGAATGAATAGGAAACTATTCATTTTTAGATTGAAGTTATTTAATATATAACTATTTATATCGCTGATGATTTCAGCTTCCTTAAATTTGCCTGTCAATTGTAATGATTAAGCCTTTTAAGTATGGCTTTAAAAGCCTACATCACTAATAACACTAAGAGGTAAGGTTTTTGAAGGTTTAATAAAGCATTTAAGTTAGATGATGAGGCAATTCAAGCCCTCAAGTAAGGCTTTAAGAGCCACTAATTACTATTAAGGCTAGCAAGATTTTAAAAGTCCACTAGTCACTAGTAAACTAGTAAGTAAGGCATCAAAGTTCATAAGGCTTTAAAATACAGTAATCATTATTAAAAGTTCACAAGGCCAGTAAGCTTTGAAGCCTGTAATTTAAGGTTTTAAGAGTCCACCAATCACTAGTAAGGCTAGCAAATAAGGCTTTAAAGCCTTACTTTTAGAGATCTAAGATGTGAGAAGATAATTGCAAAATGACTATATTAAAATATTTATAAATAATGTAGCTTAATTATCAAATAATACAGGGTTATTAACGTTTCATTATGGTAGAAAATTACAAAATTACTTTAAATAATAGTAATATATAAAGCGGCAACGTGGTCAAAGATGATAAAACTTAAAGATAAATATTAAGATAATCAAATAATTAAAATAATTGAATGTAATCTTCTAGAATAAAGATTTAAAAAAATAAATAAATAAAATACTCTAAATGTGTAGTGTATGAATAATGATAAACAATAGCTAGAAAGTAATTAAACTGTAAAATAATTGTGAAAAAAATCTATATCCTATTCTAAACAATTTTAAATATATTTAATATACTGTACTGATAATGGATAAAAACTGTTTAAATATAAAATTAATGATTTCTAGTTTCTCTAGGCAGAAACTTGTACAAAAAACTAGTTCCGTATTATAATTAATTAGTTATAAGAAGAACAGGCATTTTATCTTTTTTCTTTTTTATTACTATTATTTTTCTATGATAACACTTAATATTTGCATNTTACTATAGTTTATTAATCAATGACTAAAAGCTAACAAATTAAAACAGAGGTCTGCCAAAATATGTCTTATAAAAGGATCTATAACCTTTTAAAGTTTCAGAACCACTGCTCTAGAGTATTTATAAAACACTTTAAAAATTATTGATGTTTTGAAGATGCACATATTGATATTATATAGTGAATAAAAATAAAACTAGCTTATATCAATTTGTTTTGGAAAAACAAGTAATTTTGAATTAAAAAATCTGATTTATAAATCACATTTTCCTATTGCCTGAAACTATTTTAAATTCAAGTTTTCAGAAGGCATTATTTGTTGCATTAAAGTAATAGTAGGATAAGAAATTTCAATTTAAAATTTTTATTTTTGTTTCAATTATATATATACAGTTATATATACAGTATATATTAAGTATAGTTCTTATATATAATAAGTATGTATAATTATATTATACATTAATAAAATTAAAACAACAAACAGAAAACAGATTCAAATTGTTTTAATATATATAATAATGTAAAAATAAAATTTAAACTATGTCCTTTTTTGTCAGTCAGTTATGATTTCTCTCATCTTATAAAATAATAAAGTAGTTATTTGTTATTAATAAATATGCATGTTATTAATTTTACAGAAATTGGTGACAAATGCAAACAAGTGAAAAATAATCATTTTCTAACTGTGAGTTCACAAAAACTTGCACCTTTATAAATCTAGCAATGAAATGTAATAAAATAAAAACATTTTTGATTGGTTTCACTAACCTTCCTCAGTATAAAAGAATATAAATTAGTATTTATGTTCTTTTATCATTACATTCTGTAACTGAGGAAAATCAGTGAAACCGATCGAAATGTTTTTGTTTTTATTTTATTAAATTTTGTTTGCTGGATTTATAAAGGTGTAAGTTTTTGTGAACTATTTCCTCCAGTTATTTTTGCAATTCATAAACTAACTGTGTGTATTCAATAACATAAACATTCAGACAATTTTTATGTTATAATGATAGGATCTTCGATGGCAAATTCTAGTAATAGTTCTGATAAGTCACACTGCTCAACAATATTGATATATATTCATTAATAAAACTTTCAAAATAACATCAGTAGTTTCACTAGTCTTAACAAAATAGAATTGAATAGAATGAGGAAAAAAAATTCATATTAACATCAAAATTGGAATAAAAAATTAAAGTTTAAATCATAATTTTTTAAAGAATCATCACTATTTAGTTTAAAAATGCATTGTTCAACAATATTGAATTCTAGAATTTCATCTCAATACTTTAATATTCAATCATATTTTTAAAATATTTTATCAAATATATATAAATATTCTGATAAAGTCAAAAATATTATGAAAATGCTAATAAATAAAATTATTTTCTAAAATCATCTTGATATACCTAATTCACATTAAGTGTTATGAATAAGAAAGATAAAAAAATGTGAACTTTTATGCTTTTTTTTGCTCTGTTTAGCACATAAGGAATAATCTATCTCTAATCTATATGAAATTAATTAGTACTGTATTATGATTTTACTAAATTGATAGATTTATGGTTATACAAAAAATATGAAAATCCATACAAATTATAAATCTGTTAAAAGCCTACAAATACAGCATAAAAACTGAAAATACATTCTACACATATGTATAAACCTAATTTAAACAGACTTTACATACAGCTGGAATTATTATAGTACTAATCAACAGTACCTTTCAAATGTTTTCAGCAAGTAACTCATTGTAAGAATCAGAAGTGCAAATGTTTTTGGCCCATTCAGTGGCCAGCTTCAGGCATTTTTACCAAAAATTTGCATTGACAGTCAAACCTTTATAAGTGTTCTGGATGAAATGAAAAAAATTCCAAAACACTTATAAAGGTTTGACTGCCAATGCAAATCTTTGGTATAGATGTCTGAAGCTGGCCACTGAACGAACCAAAAACATTTGCACTTTCAATTTTGCAACAAGTAGCCGCTACAAACATTCAAAAGATACTGTTGATTAGTAAACCTAATTTACTATTTGTATTTAAACATGTATGTTTATTACATGATTGTTATCCTTATAAACATACATTATTATTATTATTATTCATATGTATGCAAAATATTATAATCAAACTTAGTGTTCAATATAAAAAGATATAACAATCAGAAAAANTCAAAATATATACTGTATATATTTTTTTAATTTGAAATTCCTATATAGATCAGTAACACCTTTTATATTAAAAAAAAAAATTTGTCTTAAACTTTAAAATATGTAATTATAAGCTTAATGTGTATATAAATTAATATTAAAGCATGTAACATATAAATTTAATAGTAACATTTTAACGTAATATAAATATAGTGGGCGGCCCAAAAGTCAGTTAACCTCCCCTTTCCCACGCAAAGTGTGTGCGTATGAATGCATTTATTATTGTATACAATGAACGTAATCACACCTTAAACAGTTTTCATAAAGAATTTACGTAACAAAGTATTTGAATAAGGCAAGAATTCAATCTTTACAGCGTTTAACTGACTTTTGGGCCACCCTTATGCTAAATAATATTAAAATAACATATAAATGTAAATTTAATGTATACATGAGATAAAATATAAAGATAAATTTAAGATTAAATTATATTTTATTTAAATTACAACACCTACACAATTTCCTTTATATAAATGACACGAAAAGAATTAAAACTTCATTGTTAACAATATATTTTTCTGTCCTAAATTTAAACATATTAACCAGCAATAAATAAATAAATATATATATATATATTATCCCCCAACAGTAACTAAATTAAAATTACATTATAACTATTTATTTAGTAATAAAAAAAAACCATAAAAATTGACTTATCGTAGAGAAGGTTAACTGACTTTTGAGTCACGTTGTATTTGTTTATTACCTGAAAAGAATTAAATCGTTATTGTTAATAATATATTTCTAGGCTTAAATCTATATATATATTAACCATTATAAAAATATATAATGTGTGTGTATATATATAGGCCTATATATACATTTTACCCGCCAAATTAAAAATGATCATACTCAAGAAACTTATATCAGGATTAAACTTTATTTTAATAGTAAAAATAAAAAAAAGGCATTTATATTATATAAAAAGCATGCAAACTGAGTCAAGACTTATCGTATAAATGGACGTTTCTCATATAGGAGACGTGCTTCTACTACTTGCATCACCACTCCTTGACTGTACATAAAAGTCCTGCTGAGAAGCTAATATAAGTCCACAACTCGTCCTATCCATATATAATTTCCATACAGATTTATTACAAACCATGCAAATAATATATTATTTCTAACTCACGTGTAGTAACTTACCTATTTGAAAGTAGACATTGATAAATAGATAACATTCTTACTACTGTTATGTATTGGTTCTCTTCCACAATAATTTTTTTTTTCTTTTAACTAAGTAAAATGAATTAACTTATATAATTTATCAATCTTACATAAATTATTATTATTTTTTTAAATTAATAATATATAAAATCAGACATTAATTCTGTTTTTTTTCTTTCTTTTAAAAAATGTATGGAATTAATAATTTATTTTTGTTTCTACGTATCTAATTTCGGTTTCCTAGTTTAAGAACCCGACAANTTTTTTTTTGGCTACTGTTTAAAAACGCAATCCGATAAAATATTTTTACGTTATAAATTTTTTGTTTTAAAAATTGATAATAATATTAAACTTAAATTTTAATATTAATTAAATGTTTTTAATTTAATTTAAAATAATTTGTTTGTAAATTTGTTTCGTGCGTTTAATAAATCGATATGATTAAGCTACTTTTATTTTCAATGCTGTGCTGCCCTCGTACGGTTGTTACACGTACTAAAATTCTCTCGTCTGTTTTCATTTATTTTTTCTCATGACGTCATTTATATAAAATAAAAATAATAATTTAAATGTTTTGATTATTTCTTTAAATAAAATATTAGTGAATAATTTTGAATTAAATTTCAAATTTCGAATTAAATTTTATTTTGCTTACATTAAATATTATTTTTAAAATACTTTTTAAAAATAATTACAATTAAGAAGCATTAAATTATATATTAAGCTTTATTTATATTAATATCAAACGTTTTATTACTTTATGAGTTTAAAGGATTATTAATAAATTATATTTTGTAATTTTTCCATTAAATTAACGAGACAAAAATAATTCAAGATAAATTTAAATCTTGATAAATTAGTGTCTATTTTTTTTTTTCATAAAATATTTTTCCTACCAGATGCCGCCACCTTCAACCACATTGGTAACAACCAATAAAAACGATTAAAAAACGAAATTCAAATATCGATTAGCCAATAAAATTTAAACATTTTAAAGATTTAAATTTAACAATACATTTTTAAATGAATAATGTAATATATATAAAATTATCAAGAAAATTAAATTAAAAGTCAATAAAAAGATGATAAAACATCAAAATTTTGCAAAAAGAAAAAAAGAAATAATCAAATCTGATAAGCAAAATTTTTCGGTTATATATCATCTAGTTTATCTGTCGACGGGTTGGTTATACGTGAAAATATACACCTCCAACGGTAATTTTCCTATCAAGAAAAAGACAATATTCTTGAAAATTCTTTAAGAAAATGACTTGACGTATGTTATGAAACGGGGCGTAAGATTTACCCACGACAGGTGAGAATTTTGGCAGAAGGGCTAAACTCGTCATCTCCATATCTGACGTATGGCAAACAAGAATGAAGAGACGAAAAAGATCTCCTCTAAAAAGCAAACTGGGAGCAATGTGTCGACAAACACACCCATCTTCTATCCTACAAACTAGTCTATCACTAAACCCTGTAATTTGTTATAGAAACAGGGGTTATTTAGGTATGGAGTGGGTACTGTTAAATGATTGGCAGGTTATTTGTTATTTCAAGTTAGTGGAATGTATCCGCCACGTTCTCCTCCCCTTTGAATTTTCAGACTTACTCCAGGGTCAAAGGTTAGGCATTTGTAGATATACGGCGATGCCGGTATAGATCTTAAGTATTGCATGAATACGCAAGTAGAGGAAAGAAATTTATACTTTTTTCTGTATTTTAAATATATATATCAAGCTTATTAAGCTTTTTAATGTATTTTTTTTTTACATTTTAAACTAATTTTCTTTAAGAAAAACCATGGAAAATAGCTTCAGAAGAGAATGAAATTTTTATATTTTAAGCGTCAGAATACTTAATTTAAAGCTTAATTTTTAAATATTTGTTAAAAATAATTTATAGAATACATTTTAAACAGTTATTTTTTATTATATTTGATGCGATATAACTTTCAGAAGAAGCAGAATTTATGCAGCGAAACTAAGATAAGAAATCACATAATCGAATTTTATTGCAATGGGATATAGTAGTAACACCCGCGCTAGAGGGTCCAACTTGGTAAAGCCATACCACATAAAAATACAGAAAATACATTATAAAAAAAAAATTATATATTTTTTCCGTAAATATTTTAAATTACAAATTAGCTATTAAATTTTTAATTACGTTTAAATTATAGGCCTACTATTCTAATTAATCATCATTATGCTTAAATTAGTACTTAGTTTCTTGTACTTAAAACTATATTTGATTTTTTTTTTGGAGGCAAATAAATTGAGATTTTTACTGTTTAAATTTTATAGGAAAGAAAGAAAAAAAAAATGTAGAAAATTCAAGAAAAATCTAAAAAGAAATTCTCGCTTTTATATTGGGCAAAATATGTCGAAATTTTGATGCGACAAGTGTTGAGATTGCCCCCAACCGTGTTACGGTTGACCCTAATGAAAATTTATTACTCAAGTACTGAACCCAACACGTCAACACAGATCACTAAGACTAACTCTCAGTAGGCAGCAACTCAATCCCATGTTTCTGTAAAAAACACAATCTCTCTCATCCATTATATATAGAGACACCTGTCTCTAAAATGGATGACGGATGATATTTAACCTTCGTTGTCATGGAAACTGCATCCCTTAGATGCCACCACACCATTCAATTGATGTTTTTAATTGGTTGTTGTAATTTTCAGCAAGATAGCCAATGGTAAAGCATTTGACCTCTCACAAATGGTTATTTTGATTTATGAGTGTCTTGAGTGGTGGCTCTAAAAGACTTTTAAGTGTTAACAAACAGGAAATTGCTGCAGGCATCGAAACACACAAATTTTGACTCGTTAAACCCTTTCTTGATAACATTATCCAGACTCAAAACTGGACATTTATGTCTATCACAAGGATGATGTTCAGTTAAAAGTCCATAACAAACTTTCCTCAATTTATCATCTTTCGACACCATAATAACCCTATAAAGGTTAGTTAATAAATTAAAATCGATATTATATAATTAATATTTTTTCTAAATGTCTTAAATTAAGATTTAAATTTGATTAAATGGTATAAAGTGAAGATGGAGAGCATCAGGATTGAAGATGGAGAAATCGTGAAGATGATGAGATTTATCGTTCCAATTTTTGTACAAATAAAAAGTTTTAAATGTTTCTTTGGAATTTTACAACTTTATTCAAGAAACTTTGTGACTTTTTTATTATTTTTTTGCATTTTTTTAACGTTTTCTTAATCGAATTCTGATTGCAGAATACCAGAAAATGGTAGATTTGTTCTCTTTTCAATCCACGAATTTATACTTATTCCAACTTATTCTAATAAATAATAATAATATAACAATTTTAAAATATTAAAAAATAAATTTAAAAACAATTATCTTAGAAAAAAACACTGATTTAATTATAAAAATGAAAAAAAAATAACCTCATAAAAGTTATGAAATTAATTGATGAGTAATGAGTGTAATAAGAAGGATTTTTTTAGATCTATAAGCACAAAATATTTAAATAGAACATTAGCTCATAATACGCAGGCATTCAGAGGGGGGGAGGTATTGTCGAGTGTCACTTGTATGTGATGACGAGCACGTAAAAATGGCAACAGATGTCTGTAACCGAATCCAAGTAGCAATGACCCATACTCGAGTTGCTCAGCCTTTATGTGATTCTTTAGTCTCTTGTTAATGGGTGACGAATATAGTTGTGTGTGTAGTGTTGGCGGTTTTCTTACCAAGAATCGGGTTGCTTGACGATGATGCAAGAAGACAGATGAGGTGTCCAGCATATTTTCTACAACTAGAAAACCTTCTTAAATTAAAAAAAAAACTATACTTGATAACTGCTATTTTCTCTTCAATTATTTAATTTTAAAACCTTATATATACCCTATCTGATTTAATCGTTCTTTTAAAGGGGGTAGAGATAAATAAATGAATTTTGGAGGAAGAAGAAAAGTATCAAGATAATCTTTTATAAAAGATAAAAAGAAAAAAAAAGAGTCTCCACTAGAGCCATATAGAATCATTACACATCACAATCACGTGATCTCGTATCTCTCTAATGGACCTAGGTCAAAGGTCGGTCGTAATTCGGAGTGACATAGCTTAACAAGAACCACCTACTCCTCCCAAAGCCTATAAACTTATAATACACTACTTTTACTCTAAGAATAAACTAATTCTTGGTTATTGTCACGTATTTCGGACTTCGTAAAATGACTTTTTTTTTTTTAAAGTATATCGGAAATTTTTAAGTACTTTTAATCTAAAATGTTCTTGAACTCTTAACATTTTAAAGGTCAATTTATTCTTCTATCCTAGGCCTAAAGAATAATAAAGATGATCTTTTTCAGTAGCTTACATATTATATTTTCTTACACATACCAGAATTTAGGTATAGGCTATATTAAATACTCTATAAATCCCACATTAAAAATATTAAATTAATATTTTTTAAAGTATTTTTCATGAAATTCATTTAAAATAATTAGAAAAAAAATACCTCGTTTAAAACGAATATCATTAATCACAAGGTATGCAAAATGGGAATTAAGCTCACTTTATCCAATTGCAATGGGNAAGCTTAAAATGTATAAAAATTCATTTCAAAACCAATACAACAAAGAGAATTCAGAGATTGGTGAAGATTCAAAGGAATAATTTTATTATAGAATTAAATTATTTTATGATGTAATTTAAGATTATTTCAGTTTGGCATATGGGTTCTTAGTACTTCGAAAGGTAGAATAAAGCACAATTCCAAGTCGAATTATCGTATATAGATGTTATATATGTACTGTACATATTGATTCATGATACAATAAGGTACAAGTTACAAAGAAAAAGACGAGGGTCGTGGGAAAGGAGAAGTCCTAACATCTGTCGTTAGTACAGCACATAGCCTATTTCCTGTTTGCAAACCGATTAGCCGCGTGTCCATCATGCATTTGTTAATCTCTACTTAATCCCTTTCCAATAGCAAATCGTGTTTAAAAAACGTAATTAATTTGATAACACTATTACATGCTGCAGGTTGCTAATATTGTCATTTTATGATGACATTAACGATCATGTGTCGTCCCAGATCTTTCGTCAATTAGTGAAGCCATTGCTAATTACTGTCTTTGGCCGATAACTTGAAAATTTGCCTCTAGACACTCTCTTGTAGAGAGAGGAAGAGAAGAGATTTTCAAATTTTGGAGTCGAATCTCTTTTATTTTTTAATAAGTAGAAGATACTTATATGTATGTTGTAGTCCTCTTATGGTTTATACAACAGAATGGATGCTACTCTTAGGAATACATCTTACACATAAACTTACTATCCTATATGCAAAAATGGCTTCTGTTCTTAAGTTTATAATGGAATGGAATAAATCATGCTCGTAGATTTACTATAAACACAGATAGATCTATAGGATATAATGGATCCTGTTGTTAGATTAACTAAGAGCTGAAATAGATCCAAAATTATATGAATTAATGAATATTATTTTACATTTATTATAAGCAGGAATGAGCTTTAATCCAAGATTCATAATAATCCTTGTTAGAATGGATCCTTGCTGTACAATACATTTACTGTAAGATAGATCCTACTGAAGGTGAGTACTGCTCTTAGGTCTGTAGTGATATAAAATGATCCTACTTTTACATTTGTTATAAACAGGAATAAATCCTAATCCTAGATTTACATTGGTATAGAATGGATTCAATTTATACATAAACCGTAACGATTTAATGAATTTAATACATCATTTAGGATTGAATAAATCCTGTTCTTCGAGTCATAGAATAAAATGGATCCTAGTCTTTAGATTAAAATAATCCAAGTTTAAACTTCATTACAGGATATAATAAATCCTAATTTTTTATTCATTTATTCTTCAAATAGATTGGATCCTCGGCTTGGATTCATTACAGGATACGAGACTGCTGATTGGGTGTGCGTGCACTCACTGAATGCATCAATAAATTGCACTCAGTAGTTACATAACCAATGAGATAATATCGTAAGCTTATGGCTGAACAATATCTGCAATTAGTTAATAATTTTCATTCTTTTAGGTAAAAAATTATTTTAATTTTGACAATAATTATCAGTCGTTAAGTGATTGTTAACATTCATCAAGATAGTGTCAAGTTTAATTGACTAATGATCAACCAGTTCAGTAAAAGCAATGGTTTTAAAATATACAAAAATAAATTTTATTGATCTTATCCGTGTTAACTAGTAACGAGGATATGAAAAGAATTTTTAAAATATTTTGAATATAACTTACACAAAAAGCGAATCCTATGCTTAAAGGGCCTTCGAAGGCTTATAGAAGTAAAAATAGTTTTAGTAGTTTTAACTAATTTCTGCTTCTATAACCCTTAATGAGCATCTACTACGGCTTCCTAACTGATGTAAGCTTCATCTGTAAGATATTTCTTATAAATTAACGAAGATATTAATGAATTAGTGCCTTTAAATGTGTAAAATATCAATAATTTTCACAAGAAATTCATAAGGCTTTTAGAACTCCAATAAATGTAATTAAAAGGAAGATTAAGTTAACGATTTAATGATCGTTAATTAGACCCCTTGTCAAGAGAATAATTAAATAATTAAGAAAAATTTTTAGAACAAAATACTTAAATTTAATGGTTATTTATTAAACATTTATACACCATTTTACAGTTTATTAATACGTCAATGTGTCAAAAATAATCATAAAATCANTTATTGTTAATAATATATTTCTAGGCTTAAATCTATATATATATTAACCATTATAAAAATATATAATGTGTGTGTATATATATAGGCCTATATATACATTTTACCCGCCAAATTAAAAATGATCATACTCAAGAAACTTATATCAGGATTAAACTTTATTTTAATAGTAAAAATAAAAAAAGGCATTTATATTATATAAAAAGCATGCAAACTGAGTCAAGACTTATCGTATAAATGGACGTTTCTCATATAGGAGACGTGCTTCTACTACTTGCATCACCACTCCTTGACTGTACATAAAAGTCCTGCTGAGAAGCTAATATAAGTCCACAACTCGTCCTATCCATATATAATTTCCATACAGATTTATTACAAACCATGCAAATAATATATTATTTCTAACTCACGTGTAGTAACTTACCTATTTGAAAGTAGACATTGATAAATAGATAACATTCTTACTACTGTTATGTATTGGTTCTCTTCCACAATAATTTTTTTTTTCTTTTACTTTTGTATTTTATTTAAAATTAATAATTATGCATAGCGTGAAACACATAATTTATGATATTTTATATAATTTATATATTTTTTATTATTCTCAATTATAAAAAAAAAGTTCTTAAAAAGCATATCCATACCTTTAAACTTTGTATAAACATATCATTGTTACTATATGACTTTTTAAACTTTCTTTTTCTATAAATATGTAAATTCAAATGTGACATTATTCACCTGAAAAGAAATGTAAACATGGTTATAAAATTTCCAAATTTAAAGGTGTATAAAAACATAAAAATATAATGTAAAAATTCGTAAGACGTATCAGGAAAGTTTTAAAAATGTTATTTATGTAATCCTAAGTGAATCTTAATGATATATTTATGTATAATTTCTAACCGAAAGATAGAACTTTACATACAACTGATGGATTAATGTTGTCAAAAAGATGCACCCACGCCATATTGTTTAACTTTAACATTTGTAAGTTAGTGAAGATGGGTATAGCTTTTATAATGACAGACAATGTGTCTTGTATAAATGTGTAGAATTTTAATGACGTCGGTTCAAAAACTTGATTTGGGAATCTTTAAACAACTGTTGATCTATTGCGTTGTGTCTTTAATCTTTTGTGGAATTTATACAGTTCTTGTATACAGTGAAACTTCTACAGTGGTGTCAAACTTCAGAGACTTTACTGTATATAAAGTTGAACTCTTTTAATTGGAACCGTCAACAATTCTTATCCGGTAAAATTCTTGAAGTTGGTCACTCTCAAACACCTCTAACGAGGGTTTACATTTTCAATACACAGTAAAACCTCCGATAGTTGGACATCTTCAAAACTGACATTCCTTGTTACTAGAATGTCCAACTTTAGAGGGTTGTATATAAAGTTATACTCTTAACTATTTGAAAACAACACAGTACAGTNTTTTCCTATCAAGAAAAAGACAATATTCTTGAAAATTCTTTAAGAAAATGACTTGACGTATGTTATGAAACGGGGCGTAAGATTTACCCACGACAGGTGAGAATTTTGGCAGAAGGGCTAAACTCGTCATCTCCATATCTGACGTATGGCAAACAAGAATGAAGAGACGAAAAAGATCTCCTCTAAAAAGCAAACTGGGAGCAATGTGTCGACAAACACACCCATCTTCTATCCTACAAACTAGTCTATCACTAAACCCTGTAATTTGTTATAGAAACAGGGGTTATTTAGGTATGGAGTGGGTACTGTTAAATGATTGGCAGGTTATTTGTTATTTCAAGTTAGTGGAATGTATCCGCCACGTTCTCCTCCCCTTTGAATTTTCAGACTTACTTTAGGGTCAAAGGTTAGGCATTTGTAGATATACGGCGATGCCGGTATAGATCTTAAGTATTGCATGAATACGCAAGTAGAGGAAAGAAATTTATACTTTTTTCTGTATTTTAAATATATATATCAAGCTTATTAAGCTTTTTAATGTATTTTTTTTACATTTTAAACTAATTTTCTTTAAGAAAAACCATGGAAAATAGCTTCAGAAGAGAATGAAATTTTCATATTTTAAGCGTCAGAATACTTAATTTAAAGCTTAATTTTTAAATATTTGTTAAAAATAATTTATAGAATATATTTTAAACAGTTATTTTTTATTATATTTGAAGCGATATAACTTTCAGAAGAAGCAGAATTTATGCAGCGAAACTAAGATAAGAAATCACATAATCGAATTTTATTGCAATGGGATATAGTAGTAACACCCGCGCTAGAGGGTCCAACTTGGTAAAGCCATACCATATAAAAATACAGAAAATACATTATAAAAAAAAATTATATATTTTTTCCGTAAATATTTTAAATTACAAATTAGCTATTAAATTTTTAATTACGTTTAAATTATAGGCCTACTATTCTAATTAATCATCATTATGCTTAAATTAGTACTTAGTTTCTTGTACTTAAAACTATATTTGATTTTTTTTTTGGAGGCAAATAAATTGAGATTTTTACTGTTTAAATTTTATAGGAAAGAAAGAAAAAAAAAATGTAGAAAATTCAAGAAAAATCTAAAAAGAAATTCTCGCTTTTATATTGGGCAAAATATGTCGAAATTTTGATGCGACAAGTGTTGAGATTGCCCCCAACCGTGTTACGGTTGACCCTAATGAAAATTTATTACTCAAGTACTGAACCCAACACGTCAACACAGATCACTAAGACTAACTCTCAGTAGGCAGCAACTCAATCCCATGTTTCTGTAAAAAACACAATCTCTCTCATCCATTATATATAGAGACACCTGTCTCTAAAATGGATGACGGATGATATTTAACCTTCGTTGTCATGGAAACTGCATCCCTTAGATGCCACCACACCATTCAATTGATGTTTTTAATTGGTTGTTGTAATTTTCAGCAAGATAGCCAATGGTAAAGCATTTGACCTCTCACAAATGGTTATTTTGATTTATGAGTGTCTTGAGTGGTGGCTCTAAAAGACTTTTAAGTGTTAACAAACAGGAAATTGCTGCAGGCATCGAAACACACAAATTTTGACTCGTTAAACCCTTTCTTGATAACATTATCCAGACTCAAAACTGGACATTTATGTCTATCACAAGGATGATGTTCAGTTAAAAGTCCATAACAAACTTTCCTCAATTTATCATCTTTCGACACCATAATAACCCTATAAAGGTTAGTTAATAAATTAAAATCGATATTATATAATTAATATTTTTTCTAAATGTCTTAAATTAAGATTTAAATTTGATTAAATGGTATAAAGTGAAGATGGAGAGCATCAGGATTGAAGATGGAGAAATCGTGAAGATGATGAGATTTATCGTTCCAATTTTTGTACAAATAAAAAGTTTTAAATGTTTCTTTGGAATTTTACAACTTTATTCAAGAAACTTTGTGACTTTTTTATTATTTTTTTGCATTTTTTTAACGTTTTCTTAATCGAATTCTGATTGCAGAATACCAGAAAATGGTAGATTTGTTCTCTTTTCAATCCACGAATTTATACTTATTCCAACTTATTCTAATAAATAATAATAATATAACAATTTTAAAATATTAAAAAATAAATTTAAAAACAATTATCTTAGAAAAAAACACTGATTTAATTATAAAAATGAAAAAAAAATAACCTCATAAAAGTTATGAAATTAATTGATGAGTAATGAGTGTAATAAGAAGGATTTTTTTAGATCTATAAGCACAAAATATTTAAATAGAACATTAGCTCATAATACGCAGGCATTCAGAGGGGGGGAGGTATTGTCGAGTGTCACTTGTATGTGATGACGAGCACGTAAAAATGGCAACAGATGTCTGTAACCGAATCCAAGTAGCAATGACCCATACTCGAGTTGCTCAGCCTTTATGTGATTCTTTAGTCTCTTGTTAATGGGTGACGAATATAGTTGTGTGTGTAGTGTTGGCGGTTTTCTTACCAAGAATCGGGTTGCTTGACGATGATGCAAGAAGACAGATGAGGTGTCCAGCATATTTTCTACAACTAGAAAACCTTCTTAAATTAAAAAAAAAACTATACTTGATAACTGCTATTTTCTCTTCAATTATTTAATTTTAAAACCTTATATATACCCTATCTGATTTAATCGTTCTTTTAAAGGGGGTAGAGATAAATAAATGAATTTTGGAGGAAGAAGAAAAGTATCAAGATAATCTTTTATAAAAGATAAAAAGAAAAAAAAAGAGTCTCCACTAGAGCCATATAGAATCATTACACATCACAATCACGTGATCTCGTATCTCTCTAATGGACCTAGGTCAAAGGTCGGTCGTAATTCGGAGTGACATAGCTTAACAAGAACCACCTACTCCTCCCAAAGCCTATAAACTTATAATACACTACTTTTACTCTAAGAATAAACTAATTCTTGGTTATTGTCACGTATTTCGGACTTCGTAAAATGACTTTTTTTTTTTTAAAGTATATCGGAAATTTTTAAGTACTTTTAATCTAAAATGTTCTTGAACTCTTAACATTTTAAAGGTCAATTTATTCTTCTATCCTAGGCCTAAAGAATAATAAAGATGATCTTTTTCAGTAGCTTACATATTATATTTTCTTACACATACCAGAATTTAGGTATAGGCTATATTAAATACTCTATAAATCCCACATTAAAAATATTAAATTAATATTTTTTAAAGT